CCCATATTTGTCATGACTTAAGAGTCATTGAAGTCGTGACAATCTTAATTTACAAACTTTTAATACACTGTTAACATTCTTTCTAATTCTCTCGACCTGACTTATGTACCTTTCCACCAGTTCCACATCTCTCTCTCATCCTGTTCTGGCATTCTCTCTTGCCATTAAGCTAGACCTGACTGCCTGTCCCCATCTGCGCACTGGCAGTCTGAAGCCTCACAAACTGAACAAATTGGCACGAGGCATGTTCGTTGGATGACCTCGCCAATTTCTGAGCCCAGCCTTCAAGCTTCCGAGCTCTTTGTGAAAACAAGACAATATGTGGAGGCTTACAGTGAGTGTACAGGATGTGCAACAGGGCAGGTAGACAAATGATCTACATTCAAAGTATGTTCACTTTACACACGATAATAATGCGTATAGGCGTGCAGATTCAAGCTGGGAACCATACTGACAGAATGTGGCAATGTAGAGAAGACAGCTGCTAAATGTACCGTTTACCACTTTAAACTTTTTCCTGAAAAGATATTCCGTCTGTCATCCCTGATTTCTGCAAACACCTCCCTTTTCTGCAAAAGTTTGGGTATGAACTACTCTGGCACTTTCGTTTATTAGTATTTTTACACTGCACATTTGATTAGGTTATTAGGCTGGGAAAACATATTTAGGTTACTTTTAAATGCATTGCTTTCAACACATAAGAACTGATTTCACAGGCAGAAAATATGTTAACACCAGATGACTTGGCAGGGCACATTTAAAGCAACATTATGTGAGAAACGGTATTTTTGGTTATTTGGTGCCCCCAGTGTGTGAGTGAGTGCAAATCACTTTTACACCACTGTCGTAAAGATTAGCAGCTGTACATGTGAGTCGACAACTTTGCAAACAGCCAAACATCAAGCAAGTGCAACAACACAATACATAGCAAGCCAGCTAATATTATATTATATTACTTATACTACTAGTGCAACAGCAAGACGGTCAGCTTAGCAAGATTTGGTCTTTTTTGTCGGCCTTTTGCTCGGTCACTCTTTCTTTTTCTCTTTTTAGGTTCTTCTGTCAACGCGGTCTTTGGTCTCTTTGCCTCTACCAGGATGTCCGTAGACGCTGCTAAGCCCGGTCAGCATTCCCTGCTCGCTCCCCCCACCACCCCAGGCCTGACAACTAGCTAGCTAATGGCAGCTAAGTTACAGTTAGCAGAAGTTACTTAGCAACAAGTAAAACTTTTTTAAATTTAGAAAACCACCAAATCAAACCATGAGTTGAGGATCATCTCAGCCAGACACAACCAGAAAACATTTTCTCCATAAAATATGTAAGTTAGTGCAGTAAAGCATTAAATGGACACCAAGGTTATGTAGAGCGAAGCGTGATTACAGAGGCAACATTCACCCTATTTTAAGTCAGTGTAGCATCTAAAGGATTCAGAGGCAGTTATTTTAGGGTAGAATAGTTACATAATGTGCTTTAAATGTATATTTGACATACTGTACAGCCTATTACTACTAAAACCCTGCTGGCTCACCCTGTCTCACCTCACTGGACTGAACCTTTCTGTCTGGATAGATGTTGTTGTTTTTCTTAAGATGACTTTCATATAGAACTAATTTGCATAACATTTCAACATAAGGAGGAAATGCTCATAATCTGTAACCTGTTTAATACTAATACAACATGCTGATACTCTGCGAAACATGCTGACTATTTTTGAATCTGGACCAGCCCTGCCTTTAAGACATGGATCTAGACATACAACTGCAGTCTGCAGATTTGTCTGTAAGTTGATGAGCCTGAATGTGTACACCACTCACACTACAAGATAACCCATGCCTTCTGTGAGAACAAAACCTCACCCTTCTACAACAGAGCACCTGCGTGTTTGCTCTTGTACGGTAAAAACTCATTTCTTCAAGAACTACCTCGGCTCACCTTCTCCCCCCGAATCACACAGTACACTGAGTCATATCCCCTCTCTCACTGCTGCCTCCTCTAGTCACTTTATTTTGTATCATAAATCCTCTGTTCTTTTTATTATTCTTATTTTCTTCCATGCAGAACTTAGCACTATCAGCCCAGCGGTACAGGGATGTTGTCAAGTCTCTATGGATCTGTCCCCCCTCGCAATCCTTATTATTGTTTGTCTATAATGCTAATGAGGCAGGATTTTAAACCCATTCAAGTAATTTAAGCCACTCTGGATATGTGCAACGGATAAATGTCTAACATGGTAATGTGCGTGACATGCAGCTATAGTGCAAAGTGCCTAAAAAAGCCTGGCAATAGAGTATGTCATCTGAAAACACAAAGGAAAGGACAAACTGTGCTAGCAGTGTAAATAATTAATAGCTTGTCATGCAATAATATATTAGTAAATGAAATGTGAAGACAGTTTTTACATTTTTGGCAGCCTGTCATATTCTTTGACATGTCAGTTTAAACATTTTCAAGCAAATAATAACTTTTGACACCTAGAAAAGTAACTTGTGTATCTGTACAACTCCATTAAGTTGTACTTTATTGTTACAATATGCAGAAACTTAAAAGTTTAAGTAGAACTGACTTGGGCAGAGAGCGTTGCAGGTGATCTTCTGTACAGACATGCCCTCGCAGAAAGCCCCGCCGTTGAGAGGCGCCGGGTTAGTACAGGTTCGAGATCGCTTCTGGACACCCCGCCCACATGGCACATTACAGGCCGACCACTCCGTCCACAGGGACCAGCCGCCGTTCACTGGAGAGAGTTCAACAAAGTTAGAGAAGCAGAGGAGGTGGAGTGAGTGCACAGCAACACATATTACTTTTCCAGAACTCTGACATAGTTAAATACTCTAACAAGAGCCAGGGTTATTAATGATTATGCAGGCTCCGAGGCACTGCAAGGCAACAATGCATAACCGCTAGAGCAGATTGAGCACAGCACATTCATTGTGGTGGATATACAGCTCCCTCTTTCCTAATTGCCAGTTCAATGTTCCTTGCTCTTGGATTAAGATAAAGACGTGAAACTCTGCGAAAGCAAAGAAAACAGCCATTAAACGGAATTGCCATTTCTAAAGGCGACACTGACTCATACTGGTCGACAGGTTGGAGTCGACCACTTAACGCTCTGACTGAAGCAGTTTACTCAATGATCTCTCTGTCTTAACGCGCGCAGAAGCTAAATGTTTAGCAGTGCTATCAAAGCTGGTGAACCCGCATAGCTGGAAGGCCTCTGGCAAATAAATACTTAATAAGCAACACTCCTTTTAAATGAGATTAAGACACAGTGGCTTATTTCCTTTCATAAAGTACACATTGATTTTAAATGAGAGGCAGTAAATTGAGTCTTTGAATAATACATTCAACGAAATAAAGAGGAAACATTGCTCTTCGGTGGAAACATGGAGATGGGTCTCTTAATCACTTGTGTAGGGGTGCAGGAAACCAAACAAATTGATCTGAAGTGCCATGTAAACAGTGTGTCAGAACACTGTAATGTGTTGTCAGAGGCAATAGCAGCAGCTGGAAGGAGAGCGTACCAAAGACTATCACAGTGGCTGTGGCACTGCGTCTCTTAGCCACGATGTTGCTGGCCAGACAGGTGTAGTTGCCCGAGTCGGACAGTCGTGCCTCATTGATGATGAGGTTGTGGTCAGCGCGGGTATCGATGTTGTCGTCAGTCAGGGAACTCAGCAGCTCTTCGTTTTTTAGCCATTCAACCTGTACAAGAGAGGCGATAAAGGACAGAGATGTGATGCACTTTTGCGCAAAAAATTTAACATTAAATATCTATTCTATAGAAGATATTAATTCACTATTTAAGGATCATTTTGGTTTATAACAACTTGGATCTTATGTTGGTAGTTTGACAGCAGTGGAAGAACCAGCAGTCAGATGGTGAGACGGGTATCTTAAGCACTTTTCTGGAGGTAAAACCTAAAAAGTAAGCATGTGTTGTAATGTAATTTTTCCATTTTGCAATTAATTTAGGCTAACCTGGAGGTTTCCTTTGAATCTTGTCTGATCACCATGACTGCTGGGTTCATGGGGAGTTCCACTGCCTGATGATGTCAGGGTTAGGGCTTAGGGGCTTGGAGCTTTATAACAGTTAGCCGGCCTGATATTGAGTTGTAGGAAATGTAGGATCCAGTGTTTTTCGAGTTTGACCCACACTGGGTTAAAAAGGGGCTGAAAGTCAGGATAACTCAGGATCTGACAGACTGATTGCAAACTTTCTTTTTTCATCTGTCTCTTGTGAGTCTCCTAACTTTCCAGAAATGGAGCTCTAAATCGCTTGAGTGTCTGTTAGTCAACTAGTTGTGACTTCATAGGCTGTTAAAGATTTCCGCTAACACAAAAGTACTATCACAAATTTGCTTGGTTTGTCCAAATAATATTCTGGTGTCAGCTGCTGTAACCTTTAATGTCTTGTTTCCTCCCACATCTTAAATTTGGAATTATTTTACTGTTTACAGGTTTGTATCAGACTGTCGATTTAAAAAAATGTGCCAATTTCAAATTTCAAACTTTCACTCTTGTGCTATCAGTGTCAGCACTGCTAATTTGACAGCTGGAGATCTCATTTAGTTTGCTGGGACACCAGTGCACTCAGACCTGTTCAGGGGATCACAAATGATGCTTTTGGCATGCATCATTGACAGCGAATGAGGTAATGACTTGTGAACAATGTCAGGTGTTTGCGGGTCACAGGTGAAACCATTAACTCAGTCAAATCATACTGTTGTGAAATGGATCTACAGCAATACAACTGTATATACTCTGTGTCAGGTGATATTCAATTAACCATATAACATAGTCAAACTGTTTAGTCAAACAATTTAGAGAAGAGCGAAAACTTCTTTTGCATCAAGAAAAACCTTCTGTGGCGTTATTTGCTCTTCTTATAATGAAAATACTCTCCAGTCTGCTCGATGAATCCCAGTGCTTTTCTTGCCAAGACACGCCCTGTGTAGCATTCACGCATTAGGATTGGCTGGATGCCCACGCTTGTCAAGTAATGTATAGAAAGTGGATAAAAAAGCTTTTGCATAGTATACATAGGGCCAGTTCTAGTAAGAAGGTAGTGGTTGATGAATGGGTAAAAAGTCCTACACTACATCTAGGAGACTGGGGTTCAACTCCCACTGTTTTTTAGATGTAATAATTTAATACTTTTTGTCAAATTATCTTTAGTTTAAAGTTGTACTTCGATTAGGTTTAGGCAACAATACTACTTGGTTAGACACCTAGTGTTAAATCATGCCTGTAGCTCATGCTGTAGCTTCCAGTAGTTGCTCAAAAGATGCAGATTGGCCCGAACCACTGTGGCTGGACACAAGCACATAGCTTGAAGCCTGGCA